AAGTTAACTCTAAAAGCAATTTTGGTTGTCGTCAAATCCACTCCCCAATGCTCTGAACCAATAAATTGTTAGCCGTAGGTCGCGAGTCGCACCGACCAAAGGTTTTTGAATGACTGGTTGGCAATAAAGATGTTTCAGAAGAATGGCATTGCATTCTCTTCTGGTTCTGTTCGCTAACCTTATGACGTGGTCTTCACCATGCGACCCGGAAGTAGCAGTCATGTCGGTACTATCGTAAGTAGTTTTAATGCACTGTTTCCTATCGAAAATTACTTGAACCAAAACGCGCGATCTATGAACCAGAATTCTACGACTGCTTGTACATTGTAAATAACTGCCTAGGCGATGCTGCAAGAAAGTTTTCATGAGGAGCACCATCACAAGTCTGTTTATATTCTTCAGTCTGGTGACTTTCGAACGAGTAGCTCTCCAGCCGACCTCGGCAATTATATTTGGAATAAAGACATGATTTATACAATTTGTCCCTTTTTTATCATTCATTATAGATTCGTGTACAACTTTGGTCATAGTTCACGAGGAGATAAGAACGCCTCCTTTAATGTAGAGATTGTAAGAGTTCACATCTTTTTATAATTCAGAATTGTTACGACTAGCCACTAAGCAAACTTTCTGGTAGTCTGAAATGTTTAGTTGAAAAACTATCTACCTAAAAATAAGAGTTGACAAAAAAAGAATCACGTGAATGGGGAGAGGGGCTAGCTAGGCACAGAGTTCGTCGCATTGCGTCAGAAAACTTCCTCTGGTATATGCTTGGAATTATAAAGCCATATTCCATTTTTGCAGAGCGAATGGGACTTCGAGGTGAAGCCGGGACTTACATTGCAAGCGATCTTGTATGCTAACATGCTGTAGAAAGTCTTTAAGCTCTAGACGCAAGCAATGTCGCGAGCTATCTAACGAAAACAGATAAAGTGAGGATAAATGGCTACAGAGACATTACGATTTTGAAGGATCCCTATTTGCTAAACTATCCTTTGGTAGGGTCTTCCCTTCCAATATACTTTCATAAATGAGTGAGAGAGTATAAAATTTAAAGAAGGCCTAATTTCCTACCAAACAAGTACAGGAATTTTTTTCGTTTCTCTTTCCCATCAAATATATTTGAATTTATAAATGCAGTCAAAATCAATGATAAAAATGCATACTATATAAGTAGTCACTTTTTTACAGTATATAGGTTTTGTTAGTGGTCAGAACGAAGCTCGTTAAAAAGCCGGCATCCTATCGTGACTGATATGACTTAAGAATAGATTACAAGATAATCAATATTACAAACTTACTCAATTCCGATTAGCGAAAGCGATCAATATTTTACCTATTTCGGCATGTTACACGAATTCTAGGCCGTGCTCTATATGCATACATATATGCACATAGATAACGCACGAAGGTTGCAACAGATCAGCCTTAGAACTTTGTTTCATGGTTGTTACCGATCATCAGCGCAAAATAGGCCGTAGAAATTGAAGTATATATACAATTCAAGTAGGCGGGTCAACGTTACCGTTGTGGTTAGGATCTATCTGTCCGCTAGTTGGCCGCTGGCGCACTGATGATCGGTAACGACCGTGATTAATTTTAAAAATGTTCACCCATAAGGGACTAATTCTCCCGTGTTGCAATTACCCAACCGGATACAAACAAGCAAACATGATTGCGTGATAAAAAAACACATATAAAGAATTCATAGCAGATACGAATTAAGACATTTGCTAGACATTTCGATTTATGCTAGTTGCTGAAATTACCCTTTATGGGTAAATTTTGACGAAAATAAGTGCAGTAAATGTAGACGGGGTCATGCATAAAATTAGGTTTCTTGTGATCAGCAGAAATCAAGCAGACGAGTTTGAAACCACTTGATCTAATTTTTCAGTAATTTATTTTGAAA